ACCTTCATGTACAAGACTTCCCTCCTGATGTCTGGACCTGTCTCTTCAGATGACCTTCATCTTCCTGGCATGCCAGTTGCTTCCAGGAAGGAGAATGGCTTAGATCTTCTTAATTGCCCCTTTGGCACATGACCCTGGCACACACTAGCCCAGGCATGTCCTGCTGGGCTTTGCTGAGTCACAGTGATGGAGCAATTCCCATTGTGTGGTGCCCACATAGTGGAGACAAACAGCTGATTAATGGGTGGTGAGTTCAACACCCCCCCGGACACGGATCCTTTGTATGTCACTAGCGGCCTTATAACATATTTCATGAACAACCAGACAGCACCAACTCCGAACGTCCTACACACTGCTGATGTGTGCGTTTGGACAGGCCGGCGGGGCTCACCTTTCGTGTGATTCCTCACATGGCGTGCTTGGTATGAAATCTCACAACCACTCGTGAATAATGTGTGTGTGTGGGGGGGGGGGTTACACGGCATTGTTGTGGGTTACAGAGTGCCATAGCCTTCCGGCCCCACACGTGGCAATGGCACACGTGAGCAAGAACCGGGCAGCCAAGCGCCGAGGCAGAAGAACGCTCGGTGTCATCTCAGAGCTCTGGCCCTCCCTGCCCAGTGCCACCCCCTCCAGCCATGGCCATCCCCGATGCTTCAGAGGAAGGAGATGAAAAAATCCCACCCTGAATACATTGGGGATTCCTTCCTGACCTCTGCAGGTGGCCAGCCAAAGCCCGCGTGTGCAGGTTAGGGACGTTAAAAAGCAGTTACTTAGGCAACCGTGTGTGACGTAGTGGAGGTGCCCTACACCCGCTCTGGTTTTGCATTCACTGGTTGCTGTGTTGTGCTGTGTGTGACTCCTACTGGCCTATGCTGGTCTGCAGAGACTGTGTGTGTGTCTGTGTGCAGGGCCCAGCGGGAGATGGTCCCCCAGGGAAGATGTGTAGGCCATGGCCCAGCTGCCTGACACCTGGGCTAGGTGGAGGAATCTGAACAAAGCAAGGGGCGTGGCTGCCTGGACGCTGAGGGACCAGTTGCTGGGGGTTGGGGCAGTCTTAGCTGGGGGAAGCATGAAGGAAGCAGACTAAGTCCAAGATGGGCCTGCAGACCCCTTCCTCCCGACAGGGCTAAGGCTGTCCGCCCTGGCTCCCTCCTCAGCATCGAGCCTGTGCTGTATCTCAGAGAAGCAATAAGCCCGTTTTACTCCACTGGCTGGGGTAGAGTCAGCTCTGGCTGCGGACGGGGGTGCAGGGTGGGAGGGGCCCCGACGCGCCCCCACACAGCCACCCTCACAAATGTGTCTGGCTCTCTCCACACTCGCGACGTGGTTTGCTGCGCTGCAGAGACCGCCATGCCCTGCAGTGGCTTGGGAGGCCTCGCTGAGGTCAGCTGACATATCCGTGGGCTGGGGGACTCGAAGGCCAGCGCTGAGCAGTGTGGCACTGGCAGACAAGCACGGGCTTGGGGGACAACAGGAGCAAAGTGGATTTCCTGCGAAATATCTGGGAGGCGGTGAATGAAAATTCCCTCCCTCCCTTCCTGCCCCAGCTCGGGCGCTGGTCTTGCAAAACCTGGCTGGGACTCTGACCAGGAGAGGAGTCCTGTCTGTCGGTGCCCACCAGGGGAAACTCTTCCTCGCCACTGGCTACAGGCCCCACAGGCTCCTTCCTGCAGGCTGCTGACAGACACACCCCACCTCAATGCCCCAAGTGCCTCTACCTCCCAGACTGCCACACTGTACACACAGCCGCTGTCTCTGTGGAAACAGCCTCCCCTCCACCGGTTGACTGGTTTCACCTCAGTCACTCCCTGCCCAGCACGGGGCAGGTGGGTTAGAGGAAAGCCAAACAGCAGCATATTGGGCAGAGCTGGAGATAAGATTCAAACAGAAGCAAGTGAGAGGACTTGGAAACAAGAGGTAACCCCCCCTCCCTTGCAACCTGTACCCTGTGCATCTTCACAGGTACCCTTCCTGGCTTCTCCTGCACTTGCTGGCTTGTGCAGCACTTATCCAGGTCAGAGACTGGGGACCCCCTTTGCATCCCCATTGACTGAGTCACTGGTTTGGGCCTTTTCTCCTCCTTGTACAGTCGCACGCTCTTAGCCAAAGGGCCCCTCTCCCCGCCCTCCCCGGGTTTCCTATTGTCAATGGCCAGCCTGCGCCCAGGGCAGACAGTAAACACTGCCTGTCTCCAGGGCGGCTCATTGTTCTCACCTTGCCTGGGCCAGTTCCGCTGGCCCGCCCTCCTCAGGTGACAGGTTCCACTCCCAGCCCATTGGGAGCTAAACACCCACAGGTCACCTAGCTCTAAAATCGCTTCCTGTGCAAACAGCTGGCAACAGCCCTGACAATCAGGCAGCTCTGGCTTCTGGCAGAGCCTCCCATCCCGCCTGGGTGAAGTACTGAGCAGTGAGTTGGCCCAAGGAAAATCCACCTGCCAGGACTGTCTGTGTTCCCCGGTAGGGATGTTAAGGACTAGTTGACTAGTCAATTCCTCCCCCTCCTTGCTGCCTCTATGATATAGAGGCAGCAAAGGGGGGGAGAGGGGTACTTCAAAGCGGCAGCACCGCACAGCTGAACTGGGGATCAGCTGTGTGATGCTGCCCCTTTAAAACGCCAAAGTGTCATGGAGCCCAGGGTCAGCTGGGGACTCCCCAGCTAGCCCCGGGTTCTGCACGGCATTTCCCCAGAACTCCCAGGAGTCCCCTGCTGACCCTGGGCTCCATGGCTTTGAAATGCACTAGAGCCCTCGCTGGGGACTCTTGTACATTTCAAAGCAGGGGCTGTATGCGGAGTTCCACATTCCTCCTTTGAAATGGACAAGAGCCCCAGCAGGAAGTCATTCAAAGGAGGAACGTGGAAGTGCCTATCGATTAGTCGATGGAAATTCCGCTGACTACTTGACTAGTCAATTAACTTCCTTTTTAACATCCCTTTTCCCAGGCTGTGCCCAGAAGAGCTGTGGAAAGTCTCACTGGAGGAGGGGCCTTGCTCCACCAAACACCTCTTCCGGGAATCTGACTGACCCATCAATGGGCGGCGTTGTGCCACACTTGTAAGCCCAGGAAAACCTTGCATGGGGTTTACATGCCTGGCTCTGAGCAGAGCCCTGGCTGGAGCTGTGCTTCATGTGTGTCCTCTGTCATGCTTTCCCCTGGAGAATCAAGGTGCTTGCTTCGAAAGAGCAGATGCTCCGATAACTGGGGCTGTTACAGCAGGTGACAGCAAAGTGCAGACATGGGCTGCTTAGATCTCCTGAGTTCCCTGGGGCCATGTCCTGCTGCCACCAGCCCTGTGGGGGAGCCTGATTTCCCCTGGGGCTTGCAGGACTGACAGCGCCTTGCCCGGGCTTGGCAGTCTCACATGCAGAGCCCTTTCCTTCTGGCTCTGCCTTGGTTTCCTGATGTGCAGGTAGCTGGTTGTCCGAAGCCCAATGCCCCTCAGACTGAGGTTTCGGAGCTGGGCTGGGGTCTGTCCTGTGACCACTAACCAGCATGTGGGAACCAAGGCTTGCCCTGTGGGAGGCATCGTTCTGTGCACTACGAGAGCAGGAATATTGTCCTTACACTGACCACACAGAACAGAAAAATAGCCCTTGTCCAAGGAGACATTGGTGCTGCATGAGGGCACCTGGGAGTCTGGGGGGTCACTTGTTCCCCTCGGTTTTAACTGCTGAAGCCAGGTGCTCTGACTTTGCCTCCGGTTGCTTCTGGACCTCACCTAGGCTACTTTGGCTCTGCTTCTGTGCCGCCGGCGGAGGGAGGCGAGGTTGGCAGAGCAAGCTGCCACTGTTAATAATGTCCCTGCACAAGCGTGGAAGTGACCATGCTAATTTCAAGCTCCATTAGAAATGAGTTTTGCCTGTGAGGGGAGGCGGAGAGTTAGAAGCGGGGGGGAGGGAGGAGGAACCAGCCACAGCGTGTAGGATGTCGTCGGCTGGGCTGTTGTTGGTGCTCTGGCTCCAGGCTAGGAGACAGACCAGGCAGCTAAGGAAGTGTCTTTCCTGCACAAACTCCTGGCGTGGGAGGGACCAGCTTTCAAAGGACACAGGGCTCTTCTTCAGGTCTGTGGAATGAATGTTGGTCTCCCCTTTGGTTGCAGGCTTGTGACGAAGCGAAGGCGGGGGTGGGGGGACAGGCTGACAGAGCACTGGTGGGGAAGGACGTTTGCTCAGTGTTTTTGGCACTTTTCTGAGCTGTGAGAGACCCACTTCAATCCCCCCAATGAGTTGGAAAAGGGATTTGCATTTGGGTCGCCCGTGGCAGGAGAGGGACTTAGCCACTGGGCTGGGGATAGCAGGGCATGGAGCCATCTCCGACTCTCCTCTAGTTCACTTTCCAGCAAAGGAGCCGGGATGTACGTTTGGGTGTCCCGTGTCCTAGGGGAGGGACTCAGCCCCCAGACGATGGAGCCCTTCTGTCTTTCTTTGGCCCTGTGACTCTGCCTTGCAACTGTCAGTCCTGATGGATCACAGGCTGAGAATAGTTGAGGCTGAGTTGTCTCCACTGCCCGAGGCCCTGCCGTGGCTCGGAAATGATTAGCTGAGAGGTACCCAGCTGTTCCCAGCAATGTATCCCTACTCCATGCTGCAGTGGGAGGTGCATCCCCCTGCCTCCAAACTGCTGCCAATCTGACCTGGGGAAATTTCCTTCCCAAGCCCATCAGTGTGTGAGCATGACCCAGAGGCCAGGTGCCTGTACTACGGGAGAGCTGATTCACCTCTGCTCCAGGCAGGAAGGACAGGGAAGTGCGGGAGGGCACGGCAAGGTGGCGTCTTTGCTCCTCTGCCGTTCTGGCCTGTGCTCAGGGCTGCTCTGACTTCCCCTTGACTGGGGCTGAGCCGACAGCCATGGGAGCCGAAGCACAGTCATACTCCAGCCACGCCTCCTGCTCTTGGGCTGCGCCCTGCTCCCAGTGAGAGCTACCTGAGGTGGTGTCGAGTCCTTACGCTCCACAGGGAAGCACATGGGGGGCCAGATCTGCCAGCTCCAAGGCCCATTGATGCCAGCCAAGCAGCTGTGACATCACAGAACGGCAGAGCCCTGTTGAGCCCACAGCTAGAACTCCCTTGGGCACGGGGCTCCTCCCGGGTCGGCTCATTAGCCACGCGCTGGCTAGCCCAATGGCTCCAGCTGTGTGATGCACAGCTCTGCGTTGTGCTGGGGAATTGTCTGTCTGCAATGTCTCACACGGGGACTCGCTGACACACGGATGCTGCTCCTGAGAACACGCAAGCAGAGCCCTGTTGAGCCCACAGCTAGAACTCCCTTGGGCACGGGGCTCCTCCCGGGTCGGCTCATTAGCCACGCGCTGGCTAGCCCAATGGCTCCAGCTGTGTGATGCACAGCTCTGCGTTGTGCTGGGGAATTGTCTGTCTGCAATGTCTCACACGGGGACTCGCTGACACACGGATGCTGCTCCTGAGAACACGCAAAAGGGAAACTGGAAACAGCAGAGGCACACGGGGCATGAGGTAAACTGAATGGAAACACCTTCCCAGAGACACCTGGAAATAGACTCAAGTCCACAGCGTGGAGCAAAGTGGGGTATAGGCACTGCCTGAGGGGATTGCCACAGGCTCCATCTACCCCAGGATCCTGTCTCCGGCAGTGCCCAGCATCCGAGGCTGCAAAGGAAGGTGCAAAAACTCCTGAAAGGCAATTCTGGAACCATTTTCCCTTTGGCCCCATTGGCGAGAGGTTGGCTTGTGTGCGGGGTGTGGCGGGGCAACTGAACCACAGAAGCACTGTGACTGGATGCAGCGGGAGCGCTCGGCTCTCACACTGAACCTAGTGTGTGATGAGCAGACCCCTCACTTCCTGTGCCCTGGGTTGACGTGTGTGTCGCTTCAGTAGCACCGTCTGGAAAAAACCTGCATGGATAGAAACCGGAGGAATCTGGTGACCCTCTGTGTGGGCCACACGAACACAGTCTCGTGGGCCACACGCAGAACGCCAATGGGCTGCAAGATGCCCATCGCTGCTGTAGTGGTTTTGCTACTGTGCCACCTTCGAGCCGACTTCACTCCCCTGACTTGGCATGTAAGTGGCACCGCATGGTGTTAACTTACAATCTTAATTTCCATGTGGGCTGACAGAGACAGGTGAATAATCTTCCTCTGTCTGGCAGAACCCTGAAGCCTGTATCATTAACACACATACCTACCTCCTGGCAAAGTAGCTGTGTGCACATGCTGCTAATGCCCAGGCTGTTATCTGAGATTGTGGGTACCAGAATGAGGGGCAGGGGAGGTCTTGTCACCCCTGAGGGGCTCTTTGAGTGTGTGACCCTCTAGTGGAAACTGCCCTGGCTAATTTAAGTGCAGAAGATGGGATTATCTGTATCAGTGGCAAACCAGGTCCTGAGCTCTTGGCCTGAGTCCTGTGGCAGGGAGCTCCTGCAGGCTCTGTGCCAAAGGAGTTCCCTTTGCCTGGTGTGTGTTTTCTGCCTTTCCACTGCCCCCAGCGCCTTCTTGTCCTAACCCAGGTGGGTGCAATTCACCTTCGCTAATCCCTCCTTAGGTTAGACCCCAGGCATTTGCTGTCTTCTTTGCCCCCTCGCTAAACCAGACATCCCCCTTTTACCAGTCTCTTCCCATAGCAGCGCTCTCTCTGGCTTCTCCTTCCCATGCCCACTGGCTGAACAGAACCCAAATGCGCTGCTGCCCTTTCTGGGGAGAGAGGGGCCTTGTGTCACCTTCCCTTCTCCAGCCTGGCCGAAAGGGCCCCAGTGAGTTCCTGAGCACGTGCCAATGCTCCCCAGAGCCCCGCTGGAGAGCTGGGGGGGGGCGCAGGGTGAGGCAGGGATAAGAGGCCCATGGGACTTGCTCTCTTGCAGATTCTGCTTTCCGCGGGGAAGAAGTCGGCAGCGAAGTCAGCACCTCAGGCTACGCGCTGGAGCTACGACCTGTGGGGAGGTGGGTTCGAGACCCGAGCTGTGGCAGGGCTCAGCTCCACCCAACCCCCGGCTGAGGCCTTCGCACCCCCACGTGCGCCTGACGCCAGCCCTCTAGGGAGGCACCTGCCCATGGCCCCGATCCGAGACGGGGAAAGCCCAGCCTCGCACCCTACGCTGGCCCCACGCGTGTAAAGTTGCCGGGGAGGGGCCAGCGCCGGCCGCAAGCAGCAGACGCGCCCGGGAGCCATGCAGCAGGTTCGGGGGGAAACGCG